ATGTATGTGAGGTTCTATTAGGGTTGACTTCAATTCAAGTATGCTCTCTTGTTTGGACCTACTATTTTGAGGCAGGGTGATGAAGTATATTACCTGTGTCTGGGGACTCTTGGTCCAGCAATCATTTGATCCAAAAGCCACAAAATATGATAATGACTATCTCTTGAATTGTAGCCTTTGGATCAAGTGTTTGATGATGGCTAGACAAAATAAGTGCTGGAGAGGATCCAGATTTTGGGGCAGGGTGATCCTTGGACTCTTGGTGGACGTTTGGTTTGGATTTTTTTTGTTTTTTTTACCTCTTTTCATTTTGGGGATTTGAAACTGTCTGGAATTGATGTTCATGTGCATTTCTTTTTATAGCTTTTCCTTTTAGGTTTGTTGCATGTTAATTTATTAGATACAACTTTGTGGGAAAGCTTTCTACGAGTCTGATGAAGCATGAGCTCACTGGAGGACTTCTTCACCTGGACGAGCTTTAAGATCACCTTCTGGATCTAGATCTAGGTCTGCTGATTTGTCACCCAGGCGCAGCAGATAAATGAAAGTCAAGGTAAATTTGTTTTGGATTTGCTTCTGAAACCTCTTGAGTGCAGGGTTTGAAGTAGTTGCTAGAAAGCAATTGATGTTGATATAACAGAGACTTTGATATGACAGAGAACACACTCTTAGCTTATTAGAGTGGTTTGTGACTGCATACGCCCCAGGAAAAAGTTTTCTTTGGGCCTCATAGATGTGCTCTTAAAGCTGTCATGGCTTCTGCTGCTTCCACTCAAAACTTAATGTATACTGCTTATGAGTTGTCTCTTGCTGACAAAAAGAAAATATTTGTGCAAATCTGTAAGCCATTTTACTTGTTCTTGCAGATTGGATTACTCTGTGCATACGTTATCAAAAAGTTGTACTTTGGCAAGTATGTAAATGCTGGTCTTTTGATTTGCCTCATTTTGTTCCACTGGAAAATTATGTTTTCATTTTCGCTTTATTTATTAATTTAATTGAGCCTCCAGAGGCAAGTGCTTCTGCATTATTATTATGCGAGTGACCAAATGAATGAATATAGCCCATTGTCGTGAATCAAATGTACCTCAATGCTACGTTATAGTTTGGAGCTATTATATATATATATATTCTACCATTAGTGATAGTGATATATGGTATTCTTGCAATCTTTGGCATCTTATGTTATCTGTGTTGCTTTATCATCAAGGATCACCTTAACTCTTTGAAGTTTTGATTTGTTAGATGCATTTCTACTAAATTGGTTTATAAAATAAAATTATTTATATGAGTTTAGATGTAATTGATAATATATTAATGTTTTCTTTGTTTGTTTTCTTTGCAGATTGGTTTTTGATAACGTTAGGAAGTATACTTGCAAATGAAGATCAACTATTGAATTTTGTTTCTTGAACTAATACTTAGTTGTAGTTGCAAATCAAGATTGTCACACCCCAAATCTGGGCATGACCGGCCGTGGCCCACAGGGACTTAGCCCAAGGCATACGTAAGCCTAAACATGAACCCAAAACCACAAAGAATAAATGTGATGATAGCCCAGAAATAAATAAATCAAAACTCAATCCAGTGACATGCCACAATTGAAAAACAAGTCATAACCAACTTCCTAAAAATATATATATACTAAATGGGACACAAACCGCCCACAACATAAAATAATTCTAAATAAAACTCAACCACAATGTATGCACAAAACTCGACAAGCAACCTAAAACAAATTAAATAAATGCCCTAGAGGTCCATGCAATTGAGTTCCCGCTACGCCATGAGTCCACTCTAAGTCCTTCTAACACCTGGAAATGGTAAACAACTAAGTCAGCTGATAGCTCAGTGAGTAGCAACATGGATAGTAAATACAGTTTTGAAAACAGGGTTCAATTCCAAAATAAGATATATATCACAGAAACTAGATTGGCATACAGTTTGGTAAATACAACATGTTTCAAAAAGAAGGTTCCACAATTCAACACTTAAAATACTCATGTCTCGCAAGAACATGATAAACGACATTTTTCACTTAAAACAGATTATAACATGAACACAAATACTTTTCTGGGTACCAATAAAAACAAATAATCTGCCACACATTTACTATATATATATATATATATACATATATAGATCTATGGAGGTCGGCCACGGGAGGTGTGTTTGAGTGTTTGGCCAACCAAAGACGATCCGATTGAAGGTCACCTAGTTGTTTTTCTAGGTCTTTTCCTTACAATCGTTGAGCACTAGAGTCATCACGGCCCAACCCGGATCTGTTCCCTAGTGGCCAGAGTCACCACACACAGTGGAATAATTTCCCTGGACTAAATACACACATGGTCCCAATAATCAATACACATCAGTTTCGCAAAATATGGTAGTTCATCATTATAAACATGAGACCAAAACAAATAGTTTACAGTATGCCAAGTTCACACATGTTTCAGAAATAATTTGATTCAATTGATAATATAATAATTTATCAAAACAGTTTACTCATGAAACAACAATTTAATTTTCCAACAGTTCAGGGTAAGGGAACATTTATAAAAATATGTAGCATGAAACTACTCACCTGAAAACGAAATAATATATTCCTTGAATCGAATAGAGTGTAAAAGTTCAACTAGTGCCCTGAACCAAGTATAAAAACTACGCGTCACAACTAATTTAAAAATACTAAAAAATAAGAACTAAGTAACCTCAACTAAAGCGCACTAACACGGCTCAACCCAACTCACCGTTACTCTTAAATATTACCTAAGTTCATGTTCTTCAAGGTTTAAAATCACCCAAGACATGGGTTCCGGTCATAACTTAATTAATTGTGACTTTAGGATAAAACAGAATTTCAAACAAGCCTTCCCAACCTATTCGCTAACTTTGAAAATTACAAAACCCACTCCACACTATTCAAAAAATTCCAAAACCTCCAGATATCAACTAATATATCGTAAGTTTAAAACCCAATTGGTTTCACTTGATTTTCTTATCAAAATAATTATCTACAATTTATTATATCCAAACTGGTTGTTTTCTGCAGCACTTTAAAGAAATTGACGGTTCTCTTAATATACAAGAGCAATCAATGCAAGGCCAAAAACGTACGAAACTAGACTCGTAACCGGTTCTAATGATACCAATTTGATAATTTTTGGATTTATACCCAAAGAGAACAACACTCCCGAATTTACTGTTTCGGACTGGTTTCCTGGACAGATTTGAATACCTCAATTTAAATGGATTTTGATTCCCAAAAATTATGAAAAAATTCAGATATGTAATTCAATATGTAATTGATTCACTGTAAAAATTTCAGATTAAAATTCATCCATTAGATATGGTTTCTTGATTTTTAAAGTTCGTGATTATGCGCAGAATTTTTTAACTAAGAATAATACCCAATCTTTATACATGAATTTAACTCCTCAAATTTCTTAACAGTATATATATATACAAAATATATAAACCTACAACCTCCATGAATGAATAAAATAATAATAGAATAAGGATGAAGAACAAAGAAAGAAGAGAAGAAAACCTAGGAGGCCACACAGCACAACACACCCAAAGCTCTCCTTCTTGGCTACAACAATAATCTTGATGATTGAAAAACCCCTCTCTTTCCTTCATAAACCCACGGCTGCTAGGGCTGCTAGTGTTGTGGAAAACAATTATAACAAGAGTTAGGGTTTGTGTTTATTTTATTTTATACTAGTGGTGGGCACACTTAGGTCAAATAGATAGATAAATATACAAAATACATATATAAGTTACATGCAACTCAAATGGTAAGAGCCTAATTTATTAATTTTATGGTCTAGAGTTCAAGTCACACCCTCTTCTCTATTTTTTTTTTAATAATAAATTTTGCTTCTAAATCAATGACTTTCACCATAAATTTATTTTAGGTTTAAAAATTAATTAAAGGATCCTCCAATAATATTTAATTTGCACCTTAGAATTCACCACCAAAATATTTGAGATTGTAATATTATTATTTAATTATTTACTTAATTTTTATATTCGGGTTCTCACAAAGATTGAGTGTTGATTTTTTGTGTGGATTCCACGTTAGTTCATTTTGAGATTTGCTTTGATGGTTTTTTTGTTATACTTAATGGTTTATATTATTAAAGTTGTTGGATGGATATATTTTGATTTATAATATAACTTGTTTACTGAATTTTTTTGTGAAGTGATGTATAATAGCTAGTGGATTTCTTAGTACAATTAAAAGGCTATTGAGATATGAGCAGGAATATTTGTGAAATAATAATTGAAATTGAAATATAAAATATGGAACAGGTTTAGTGACGAATTTATTTTGTCATTTGTACTTGTTATTATGACAAAGTAATTATTCGTCGTTGATAAACATTTTTTGTGACAAAATTTATTGCAGTGCATATATAAAAGTTTTCATTGATTTTGTTGTTTGGTGACGAAATATATATATTTGCGACCAAATATATTTCATTACGTATATAAATATATTTGTGACAAAATAAATTTCGTCACATATATAAATATATTTGCGACGAAATATAGTTCGCCACCCATGTATGACTTTTGGAGATGAAAAATTTCGTCACCTTTACATCTTACTGTGACGAAATTATTTCCTCATCAATGATCAACATTTGTGACAAATTTATTCGTTAACGAAAATTATAAATATGGTACTGAATAATTATTTGGTGATGAAAATGAGAATTTTTTGCGACAAAATCCTGTTTTATTGGTGACAAAATTTCGTCACTGAACTAATTTCATTGGTGACGAAATTATTTTTCGTCACGGTGATTTTTAATGACAAACATTCAATGACGAAACTGGTAACGAAAATATTTCGTCACAAATATCTATAGTGACAAAATTAGGTCTTTCGAGACAAAAAAATTCCGTTATTCAATACCTAACTTGTTAACATCATGTACTGGTATTATTGGTTATTGAGTTACTTAACCTTCTACCTGCACCAGAGACAGCCTACCAAGAATGCTACAGCACTTCTCAATATACATGCAGAATTGATTTGTAAAAGATATTACAAACTAAGAATGCTACAGAGTCTAATCATATTTTCTGAAACTGAAGATATTGTATACTCATAGTTTTATATGTTAATGTAGTGAACCAGTAATTAACAATATATAGCACATTTTTCTTGTAGTTTCTCTTGGAGTTGATAATTTGAACTGCACGAAAATCATAGACTGGATACAAATTGTTTAATGCCAAACCACCAACGCCACTCACAAAGGCATCTTCCTCCAGCACATCTTGGCCAACCAGTTGCGTGTCAGAAAATTTTTGTTCACTAAAAACATTTTCTCCAACGTTGGAGCCATCTGTAGCGTCAATTGAAAGATTATCCATCATGCCACCTACAACCTTCTCCTTTGCTACATATTTATCCTCCCCGAAAGACTTGTCCAAAGAAGCAGGACCATTGCCTATAAAACAGTGAAGTAAACACAATGTAAAACATGAAACAATGTGAAAAGCTGACTTTCTCATTTGGGGTGTATAAAGTTAACAAGCTCAGGAAATGGAATAACAACTCCAAAACCAGAAGTTTATACCTCTGTCTTCATTGCAGTCAATAGGAACAAGAGAGGAAACTGTCAAACCATGATCATCAAACAGGTCGACTTGATCAACTTCAGTTGCCTCCCTTCCTTCTGCACCAGAGCTGAGGCCACCTTGGTGTACATGAGATTCACTATTTTGTTCTGCATTGTACATTCATAAAGTGAATTTTGTTTGCTGTTGCAGTCAATAGAAACGAGATAGGAAACTTTCAAACCATGATCATCAAACAGGTTGACTTGATCAACTTCAGTTGCCTCTCTTCCTTCTGGCACCAGAGCTGAGGCCACCTTGGTGTACATGAGATTCACCATTTAGTTCTGCATTGTATATTCATAAAGTGAATTTTGTTTGTTGAAAATGCTAAACTCATACCAAAAAAAAAAAAGAATACAAGTCAATATCATTTTCCAATAAATATCATAAAATTAATATTGGGTATGTAGAAGATTGAAGAGACAATCATGTGAATTGCTGCTATCATACAAGTCAATATCTTCTTATGTAAGTATCTTCAGAACAGGAATTGCTGCTAGATTCCTGTCTTCTTATGTAAGTATCTTCAGAAACTTTCTAACTGCTGCTCAAAGCTGGATTGCCGGCACTGTCTGCAACTTCTCTCTCAGACAATCCAGAATCTGTAGTGGGCCTGATTCTTTCCATCTCAGAGAGATCAACAATGCTAATTTTCCCAGCTTCCACATATACATTTTCAGAGGTTTTCATTGAACTACTGCATTCATTAGATTCAGCTAAATAGTCCTCAACAACCAACACCAGGTTCTTTAATTCACCAGGGCTGTCACCATCTTCAAACTCTAGTAAGTTCTGCCTTGCAAAAACAGAAGCTTTGTCATCATCAACTCCATTATGGGCCACAACACAACTTGAGTCTATGTATTTGCCTGTTGTGGTGGGGTCTTCATCTCTTTCTTTCCTTCACTAGATCTAAGTCCTCAGAATGTTTAGCTGCAAAGTGTGAAATACACTGTTAGAAACTGCATAAATAGAGAACAAAACAACTCAGTGAAAGGCAAATAATTCACTCAACCAGTGAGTAGCAATCATCTCCTGATGTGGCTTGAGGGACACCTGCATCCATAGACACTTTCAAGTCTTCCTCAGGTTCAAAACAAATTATTGGACTCAAATTCTGTACTTCTTTTGCTGGAGTGTAGTGCTAAATCATCCTCATTGACCCTACTAATATCATCTTGAAGGGGATTCTCTTAGTCAACCTCAGATTAACAGAAAACAAAGTTTCTTTCTCTATGGGATCATTCTGCAACTTCACAGACTTGGTAGCTAGAATCTCCACTGAATTCGCCATTTTGAGAGCCCTGGCTTCTTCAAAATCTGTAGTTTCAACATTATGTTTAGACCATGTGGGAGGTTCTTCAAAAAAGGAAGCACCCTCAGTCACCGCAGTCTCTTCAAGAATCGGGTTTTTTCTCCTCTTCCATGCCATATTCTTTCTAGTGTTATTAGCAGTTCTATCTATTCTATCAGAAATTAGAGTGCCAAGTACCTCTTGATTCCTCAAAGATCTCCTTGTTGGCACTCTAATTTCTTCCACAGCAGCACAGTCAGAGGCTGAATTATCAGACAAGTCCACAACTAGAGGTGGGTAATCACCTCTACTACAATCATTCACTTCCACACTATCAGAACCTCTGGAATTTACCTCATCTCCCATTTCTCATAGATATCTAATAAAATTCTGGAATCGAGTTTTATACTCGGACACGTAACTGCAAATTCAACAGAAAGCAGGAGAGAGGTTAATGAAACCAAGTCAGGCTACAAAAGACCTATCAGAGTTATAGTTGATGTTATAACTCCACACATCAAACAACAACTAAGTTAGAAAGCTGACCAAGTCACGTACATGACTACAATTTACTGTTAAATGACCTTAAGCTACCAATGTAATTGGAGAAACAAACAAATTATAACTAAACCCCATACTAGAGCACATTGCCAGACTTTCATTATAAGAAACAAATCCAATTTAAGCAATCCTAATCTATAGATCCCGCCAAGATTTTTGCACAAAATGTTACAAACTTTACAGCTTTATTCCAAATCTAATCCACACCATAGATTCAACTTTGGATTAAAATACACACAAAGATTCTTGTGTAAACTAATCTAGAAGTAGAATTAGATACTCACGCAAAGGGAGAGGGCTCAACAAAGAGAGCAATTCAGCGACGCCTGGAAATAATTTCTGAGCAAATATTATCAACTTCTTTCTGGAATACTGAACATCTATACTGTTAAGAATAATATTGTAACACTGAACATCTATACTGTTAGATTTCCAATCAATCATATCTTCATGGGAAAAAAAAAATGCTAAGCACGTAGAGGTGATAAATAAGGAGTTTGAGGAAATAAAAACTTTACATATCAAAAGGTTAGAAAAAATGTAACTAAGATTTCAGGTAAGCCAAACAATGACATAGTGGGGGGAAAAAAATGAAGAAACCAAACATTTATATATATGTATACACACACGCACACACACACACACACAAACAACACAAATAAGCAATAGATCTCAAAAACCAAGTCGAAAGAGACGGGAAGGAAGAGCTTGAGAGAGAGAGAGAGAGAGAGAGAAATCAATACCTCACGGTGAAGCTTCAAAATCGAGAGAGAGTACTTCCAAATCGAAATCGCTCTGGGATGAATCTCAAAATTGAAATCGCTCTGAGACCAATTTGAGAAATCAAGCACAGCCTCTCCTGAGATCAATTCCTCTGCGATCGAAACCAACCCCTCTTCTCTCTTCGCAATCTCCTAGAGCTTCAGATCGATATCGCAGAGAACAAAGGATGAATCGAGAGAGAGAGAGACAGTGGAGCTTCAAGGCTTCAAATCGAAATCATTCTGACGAAATTGCTCTCAAGGGTTTAGAAGCAATTAGGGGTGAGCAAGAGAGAGGCGTGAGGAATCAAAATAGGGTTTACAAAGCTTTAACAAGTATTCTCAGAATTAAAATAGGCGCGTGAGGCACAACATATTTGGAGGCGTTTAAAATGCCTCCTATTCCAAAACGATACCGTTTTATTACAAGAATATGCGACATATTTGTAAAACATCGTTAAATATTAATAAACGTTTGTGCACACTACCCATTTTTCTTGTAGTGAAAATAGATTTGTGCACACTACTATAAGCTCAAAACAATCCAACAATGGCAACTTCAAGAATGCTCATTTACAATGTTTCTCACCACCTATTTCTTCAACAAACTATGTACCCTCTTCTATGGTGCTTGGTCATGGTGGTGTGACACTAGTAATGTACTTTTTCCATTCACTCTTATCGTCCTTGCAATCACATGGTACGCATGGATCTTTATAAACAATAGCAAAAAGAATCAGCCACCATTGCCACTAGGCCCACGCAGCCTACCCGTGGTTGGAATACTCACATTCTTTGACCTCGAGCTCCACTCGTGTTTCGCGAGCCTCAGTCAGACTTATGGTCCGATCATGAGGCTCCCGATGGGCACAAAGGTGGGAATCGTGGTCAGTTCGCCATTTGCAACACAGGAAATGCTTCGGGACCATGACATCACTTTCGCCAACCGTGAAGTCCCAGAGTTGGCCAGTACTGCGGTGGCAAAAGGTGATAGGGTTTACAAAGCTTTAACAAGTATTCTCAGATTTAAAATAGGCGCGTGAGGCACAACATATTTGGAGGTGTTTAAAATGCCTCCTATTCCAAAACGATACCGTTTTATTACAAGAATATGCGACGTATTTGTAAAACGTCGTTAAATATTAATAAACGTGGCGTTTAAAAAAACGCCACTTAAACCCATTTTTCTTGTAGTGAAAATAGATTTGTGCACACTACTATAAGCTCAAAACAATCCAACAATGGCAACTTCAAGAATGCTCATTTACAATGTTTCTCACCACCTATTTCTTCAACAAACTGTGTACCCTCTTCTATGGTGCTTGGTCATGGTGGTGTGACACTAGTAATGTACTTTTTCCATTCACTCTTATCGTCCTTGCAATCACATGGTACGCATGGATCTTTATAAACAATAGCAAAAAGAATCAGCCACCATTGCCACTAGGCCCACGCAGCCTACCCGTGGTTGGAATACTCACATTCTTTGACCTCGAGCTCCACTCGTGTTTCGCGAGCCTCAGTCAGACTTATGGTCCGATCATGAGGCTCCCGATGGGCACAAAGGTGGGAATCGTGGTCAGTTCGCCATTTGCAACACAGGAAATGCTTCGGGACCATGACATCACTTTCGCCAACCGTGAAGTCCCAGAGTTGGCCAGTACTGCGGTGGCAAAAGGTGATTTGGATATAGTTTTTAGCCCGCATGGGCCCGGGTGGCAGATGCTGAGGAAGGTCTGCGTCCGGGAGGTGCTCGACAGCGCCACCCTTGACTCAGTCTACTAACTCCACCGACGAGAGACCTGAAATACGGTTAAATATCTCTACAGCAGGGTCGGGTCTCCAGTTCATGTGGGTCAACAGATGTTTCTGACTACTCTGAATGCAATAACAAGCCTGTTGTGGGGTGTGACGATCAGGGGCTAGCATTGGAGCGGATTTCCAGGTTATGGTGGCGGATTCAATGGAGCTTTTGGTGAAGCCCAATTTGTCAGATTTTTCCTGGGTTTGGCCTGGTTTGATTTGCAAGGGATGAAGAAGCAATTGTTGGGGATAGTTATGAGATTCAATAGGATTTTTGATGCAATAACTAATAAATGACCAAGATTAGAGGGTGGTAGACAGACCAAGGATTTTTTTACAGGTTTTGTTGCAGCTGAAGAATGAAGGAGATGCCAAAACACCTCTCACCATGAAAACACCTCTCACCATGACCCATCTCAAGGTCTTGTTCATGGTATGTTTTAGTCTCTTCCAATTTAAATTCTTTATGGCCTGTCATGAAATTCATTCAGTAATACAAAATAATAGCTAATTTCTTTTGCGTTATAACAAAATGTCAATTTGTGAGCATAGGATATGGTCTTGGATGGAACCGAAACAACCTTTAGTGCTATAGAATTTGCCATGGCAGAGATGATGAACAAGCCAGAGGTCATGAAAAAAGCACAACAAGAGTTAAAGACAGTAGTAGGCAAAGACGGCATAGTAGAAGAGTCTCACATAAACAACCTCCCCTATTTACCGGCCATACTAAAAGAGATCCTCCGATTGCACCCTGTCCTCTCTCTCATGGTGCCTCACTGCCCAAGCCAAACTTGCATTATCGGTGGCTACACAATTCCAAAAGGCGCTCGGGTTTTCATCAATGTATAGGCAATTCATAGGGACCCTTCGATTTGGGAAAACCCATTGGAGTTTCGTCCAGAGAGGTTTTTGGATGAAAAATGGGGTACAGAGGAGCTGATTTTAATTATTTCCCATTTGGGTCTGGGAGAAGAATGTGTGCAGGCATAGCAATGGCTGAGAGAATGTTCTTGTTCTCATTGGCTTCAATTTTGCACTCATTTGATTAGAAATTACCCGAGGGAGAGAAATTAGACATTTCAAAGAAGTTTGAGATTGTGTTGAAGAAAAAAGTGCCTCTCATGGCAATCCCAACACCCAGACTATCCAACCCTACACTTTACGAATAAGCAAGAAACGACCATCGATCATCTGTTTGTTTCACTCTTTGTCTCATCTCTATCACATATTACCCATGTAACTAAAAACAAAGATTAGAAGAATATGGGACCGACAAAGAGAGTGAAATAAATGAATTCAACCTACTAGCAAAGTAACAATGATATATTGTAATATTGGTTGCACTTTAAAAATGTAATGCTATTCTTTTTGTAATAATGCTATACTTTAATTAAAAATTAAAATATAATAGCGTTATCTTGTTTGTCATTATTATTTTTTCAACATTGTTACCAAAACAAAGCACTGTGTTCTCTTGGCCAACAATTTTTTGGTGTCTCTGATATTTTTCTTTTTTTCTTTTTTGATAAGAAAAGGCACTTCGATATATATCTTTCAAAGTGAAAATAAGGCCAAAAGAAATCAAAACTAGCTCATTTGTTTAGTTTTATTGGGTTCGTGAACTTAGACTAGGGACAAAATTGAATACAAACATTGCAGATATATATATATATATATTTTTTTTTTTGAGCCAGTGCTTTCGAAAATATGAAAATGCCAAAAGAAATCGACCCATTGAAAGGACTATTTCATTTGCTTTCAAAGACTTTTTTTCCTTATAATTTTTAACTGGTCATTACATTTAAAAAAAAATTAATGAACTTACACGTGACAATTAACACATACTAATGAATTAATTCCCTTAACAAGTGGCGAGGTGAGAATGTGTAAATTAATGCATAAACCAGAACAAATTCAAATATATAATTATATTTCAGTATTATTATTCAAGGTTAAAAATTAGATTTAATTTTTAAACTCATTGATATGTGACAATTAATTAGGATATTAAAGGCAATACTCTTTCATACTATCATTTCTAATCTTCAACCAATCATATCATTTACAAATCATTAAGTTTAAAAAATAAGTTTAGAAAGTAAGACTTGCCATTTTTCATTATATTTTCGTAAAAGTTGATAGTATTATATTTAGGACACTCAAATTATAAATCTAAATTTATATTTGGGATTTTTATTGATAAGTCCAATTTAGAAGTGTTTCAACTCAAGAAATTAATGAAGGAATTTTTTAACCCATTTAGCCTCCGTTTGGGAAGTGGGTTGGCTTTTTGGCTTTTTTGGCTATTTTAGCCTGCCCGCGGCCCGGCTCGGGCCCGGCCCGGACCGTTGACAATGTGAATATTCACATTGACATGTTAACATTCACATTGATACGAGTATAAAATTAGCCAGCGCCTCGTGGCTGCCCAAAACCCGTACACGGCCCGTGGGCGGGCCCGGCCCGGCCTGTTGACAATGTGAATGTTCAATTTTAAAATTCACATTGGTAGGAATATAAAATTGGCCCGTTGGAGGCCCGAAACCCGGCCGCGAGCCGGGGCGGGCCCGGCCCGTTGACAATGTGAATATTCACATTGACGTATTAACATTCACATTAAAAGAAGTGTAAAATTGACCTCCGTCCCGTGGCGGCACGAGACCCGCCCGCGACCCATGGCCGGCTCGGGGCGGTCCCGGTCCGGCCCGTCGACAATGTGAGTATTCACATTGACATGTTAACATTCACATTGATAAGAGCATAAAATTGGGCCGCGGTCCATGGGCGGCCAAAAGCACGCCCGCGGCCCGGGGCGGGCCCGGCCAGGCCCGTTGACAATGTGAATATTCACATTGACATGTTAACATTCACATTGATAGGAGTATAAAATTAGCCCGCGCCTCGTGACTGCCTAAAACCCACCCACGGCCCGTGGGCGGGCCCGGCCTGTTGACAATGTGAATGTTCACATTGACATGTTAACATTCACATTAATAAGAGTATAAAACTGGACAGCAGCCCAAGGCGGGCCCGACCTGGCCCGGCCCGGCACGTCTCGTTGACAATGTGAATATTCACATTGACATGTTAACATTCACATTGATAGGAGTGTAAAATTGGCCCCCGTCCCGTGACGGCGCGAAACTCGCCCGCGGCCCATGGGCGGCCCGGGGCGGGCCCGGTACGGCCCATTGACAATGTGAATATTCACGTTAACATATTAACATTCACGTTGATAGGAGTGTAAAATTGACCTGCGGCCCGTAGACGGCCCGAAACCTGCCCGCGGGCCCGGTCCGGCCTGGCCCGTTTACAATGTGAATATTCACATTGATATGTTAACATTAATATTGATAGGAGTGTAAAATTGGCCTGCGGCCCGGAGCGGGTTCAACCTGCTGACAATGTGAATATTCACATTGACATGTTAACATTCACATTGGGAGAAGAGTAATAAACTGACAGTAGTCCAGGGCGATCGACCCGGCCCGGCCCGTTGATAATGTGAATATTCACATTGACATGT